AGGCCTATTGGCAGGATATTTGCATCAGTAAAAAGAGGAATAGCATGAACTTTCCTGTTGGCAAAAAATATGAAACGGATAACTTTTGTGAAATGTGTTTTTGACGCCTGCCCCCAAAACTATCAAACCGTAAGATAAATGAGGCAAGATTAACGCACGGTAAATATTTAGCAAGGTATGTTGAGGAACTAAGTGCCTCAATTTAGTGATTAAACCAACCGTTTTACTTAATTTAGTAGCTATGTTGTCAATGTGTATTTTCCACAAAAGATTTTTGTCAATCAGAATGCCTAAATATTCAACATAATTTTTCATTTCTAAACTAACATATTGATTGGTATCAGTATCGAAGATCTTAAGTTGGGGAAGGTAGTCAACAGACTTCTGGTAAGGATGAAAAATACCAAAAATGGTTTTTTTGGTATTAAGGGTTAATTTATTTGAGACCAGCCAAAGATACAACTTTTTAAGCGCAGAATTTACTGTTGCCTCAAGTGACCTTAGGTTCTTGTTGACATACAGTATGTTGGTATCATCAGCAAAGAAGTAGAAATTAAAAGTATTAGAGGAAGTATGAATATCGTTAATATATGAAAGGAAAAGCAACGGACCTAGTACAGACCCCTGTGGAACACTATTAGATATTGGAGCTGCATCAGATAATTGTTTGTTTATTTCTAGTGTTTGTGATCTGTTGCACAAAAAGGATTCAAACCAGTTATTAATTATTCCACGAAAACCATAATGATTTAACTTGTTTAGAAGAATTTAATGGTTAACTGTATCGAAGGCCTTCTTTAACTCAATAAAAATTCCACAGGTGAATGAACGTTTATCCACATTAGACTGAATTACAGTAACTATATTTACAATGGTATGTTCAGTAGAAAACCCTTCTATAAACCCACACTGAGCTGAAAACAAAATATTCTTAACATTAATAAAATGCATCATTCTTTTATACATAATCTTTTGAAAGATTCTGTCAAATATAGATAAGAGAGAAATCGGTGTATAGTTATTTGCGCCTGTCTCATCCTCCGTTTTAAACCCAGGTATGACTTTAGCCTTTTTGAGTTTTGAAGGGTAGCTCCTAGATGTGACCGACAAATTGACAATTTTAACTAAAATGTTGCTGATAATAGTACTTGAATATTTCAAGAGTTTAGTCGGGCAGAAGTATAAACCATGAGATTTATTATTGGGTAAAGCCAATATTTCTAATTCAACTTCCCTGGCAGTTACAGGCTTAAACATGAAAGAACTCGCCGCAGGTTTCGTTTTTTGAGAAAGTCGCGATGATCACCAGAAGCAGGTATCTTACTCGCTAATTTTTCTCCGACATACACAAAATGCTCATTTAGTATATTAGCAATTCTTTGTGGATTGCGATTAATTTCATTCGCATTATTGAAGTCTTTTATCGCATTTACATGTCGGGATTTTTTAGTTTTATGATTCAATAGATTATTTAACGCTTCCCAGGTCTTTTTCACATTCTGTAAATTTTTTCAAAATAGTCATGGAAGTAACCTCTTTTACTAATTCGAATAAGATGATTAATTTTATTTCGTTAAAACTTATATTTAGTTTGATCACCAGAAGCAAAAAGTTTATTTTTAGTCTTAATTGAAGCTCTTATCCCTTGTGTTATCCATGGTTTTGAAAAACGCCTCAATTGGCATCGGGAAATCTGTTTAATTGGCACATGCTTGTTAATTATTTTATCATATTTACTTTAAAAAGAGGAGAATATATAATCAATGTCATTATTACCATTTGCTATAATCGACTGCCAATCAATTTGATTAAGATCCTGCGTAAAAGAATCCCTAGCAAAATTTGTGAAGTCGCGCATTTTTCTCTTACTGGGTTTAATTCTATCTCCTGCTGTTCTGAATATACAAAACTACGAGAAATGGTCACTTACATCAGAAGTTATGTTGCCACTCACTGATACACTATCAGGATTATTAACAAATATATTATCAATTAGAGAAGCCGAGTTGCCGCGAACTCGCAGAGGTTTGTCAATAGTAGGAATGAGATAACAACTCTGAAGAGATAGTAGACAGTTGTGAAAAGAGAAAATGTCAGAGATTGTATTTAAGAAGCAAGGTAACGCATAAATTAATGTTACTTAATAGTTTTTGTTGACCGGTTGGTTTAACGATCATCAGTAGCCCATGCCATTATTTGTCTGAAGTCTTTAAGGACGAAACCAGGGGAGAAAAACGTTGATTATTGTAATCTCAGTTTGGAATGGGTAAATAAAATGTTGCCAGCTTACCTTTATTAAATTGCTGTTCTTTTGACTGAGGAGTGGTATTTTGAGTAATTTTGACGGTTTTGACTTTGCTGGTTATTGTTCCTCTTAATAGAAGGACAAGGGTGTAATGAATTTTTTGAACGGCTTCAGCGGCGGAGGGATTTCCCCCAAGAAAATCGCATTGCTTCGCTTTCAAACCACACAGTAGGAAGTTTGAAACATTCTATTTAGAGGGACAGTAACCAGTGAACTCAAAATCCTTCAAAATCGCTCAAAATACCACTTCCGAGGCAAACGGATGACAATTTACCATGGGCAAGGTGATACAACGTATATTTAGCGATGTACCATCACAAATGAAGCAAACGGTAAATCCAGTACATTTACTATAACACTAGCAGTAGCTGTTGGCTAGGAAATGCGGGCAAAGATGTCACAACATAACACACGTAACATACACTCTATTATGACTCCTCCATACAGGGTTATTCTTGCGTAATATACAATAATAACAAATATACGATAATAAAATGACAATGGGGCAAAAATATGTTCATCTGCTACAAGAAATATTTACATGAGTTTGTATACAGTCATGAAAAATGTGATTAAATCCGTTTAAGAAGAGTTTCCAAAAAAGTGGGCAGCTACATCCTTTTAAAACTTGAGATATTGCTTAAGTTCCGAATTTTTTCTGGGAGTAGGTTGTATTCTTTTGCCCCACAAAAGACGAAAGAGCGTTAACCAGTTGATAATGTGCAATTAGGTAGATTCAACTGTGACATGCTTCTAGTGCTGCATCTTGACACACTAAATCTATCATGAAATAAATTGCAAAGTATTGTGGTGCCTGATTTGTCCTACACTTGTGAACCATAGTAACAGTATTTAAGAGAAGTTTTTGACGGATGCTTAGCCAACCAAGGGATTTGCGCGCAGCAGATGATTTTGATAAATTTTAAATTTTTATAATTTTGTGAGCCCTTTCAGTTCCAGTGTTAACAAAAGGATATCACTGCTGATCATGAAAACTAGATTGAACAACACAGTAAACATATGTAATTAAATGATTTAATTCACATTTGCTTGGATACTATTGGCCTGTGAATGGTGAGGAGCGAGTAGATGGCTGTATTCGCAGGCAAAGATTCATGTGCATTGAAACAGCAATACAACGGCAACACTAGTAATGCATGTTTACAGTCACGACTGCACAAAATCTTATTTAAATTCAATTGGCCATTCAATCTGTCCAATGACCAAAGGTCGTTCATATGCAATACTATGAAACAGCTTTAATTACCACTAGAGTTTAAGGCTTAATAGAAACTTTCGCTCGGATGACAAGCGGTGTAAGATGCTTGGAAACGTAGAAAAATACCAAGTAAATTTAACCATGCTCTGTAGTAAAACCTGAATAAACTTACATTGATTTCTAGACTTTGCCAACACTCGTATCTTACCGAAAATTTGTCCCGCACTAAGCTGAGATGAGGGTCTACGTCTATTTTCCTTGGTAAATAGATTCCAGGCAGGCAAACAAGCTATGCAATACCCTAGGAAAACTGATAAACATGCTTCAAATGCTATAAAACACCAACTGTGACAACAGTGAGAGAAATGGAGAACAAGTGTTTAACTTTGAGGATTTATGTAAGCTTAAACTGAAATCAATTGTCTTAAGCTCAACTTGCTCTTTCTGAACTATCACTTTTCTTGTTGCACCTCCTTTTCTTTCTCAAACTTCTACACGTGGAGTGATAAGCAGCGTCAGCACCTTAAAAAAGCTGACCTTGCAGCACCGTGGAAAAACGATGGCCATTCACATACCATACATATTACTTGGAAGAACAACAGAATCTCAGGAATGTGAACAGATCGAGAAAAATCTTGGTATACAGTTAATAAAGTGCCGCTGACCAAGTCAAGATTAGGCTGCGAGCTCCTCTTGTCTTCCGCAATTACAATACAATGAGTTTCACAAACAGATTTTGTGGGCCCCATGGTTGCACCAGTGGGAGAGCTCAAGACACTTAAAAATGCCTATTCTAAGTGGTCCCCCCAATTTCACAGAAAGAGCAATTTATCAGCATTTATCAGTATTTTAAAACTGACGGAGACACTGCCATGCCAAACGAACTATAACAGCAAATAATACAAACTAATACTTTCTTTGGTGCAGTTGAACAATGCAATGAATTTCAATTAATCTGATAGGCATTTGTATTGCATTCCTCTCTTATGGGGGATACAAATGCCTGAAGAATCCCAAAGGACGTCTGTGTGGAAGGCTAACAACAACAACTTGGATAAATGCATTTTTATTCACATATTGCAGGACGTCTGTGCCTCTAAGCCTTTTTAAAGCCACAGCCTCGCCTCTGACAGGATTACCACCAGTCACATTAATGTTCTAAATCAAATATGCTTAGTAACCGGGCAAATTTCTTCTCCATCTGTTTGAACCAAAATGCAGTGGAGGTTTCTTTGCACATACATCTTGTGCTTGTTTTCAACTTTTGCAAGTTTCAGGAAGCATCAAAATGTGCTTAATCAACCCAAACGTTCTATGTATACTTTAAACTGAAACAAGAGGGCTCTGTTTTGCCATAATCTTGTGATAATGCTGGTACTTACTAATCACTCGCAACTCTAACATTAATAAATTCGGTACTACTTTTTTTGAAAAGATATTCAGCTTATCTTTAGGTAATTACAGAAGTTTTTCTAATTAGGAACTTGTAGAAATAGAGGGCATTGGTAGATTTCTCAGCGAGCAAGTTTTGCACCTCCATTGGAATCTGGCAAATGTAAAAACTTTGTCAGTGATCTGTTGGCATTCTTTGTGGAACCTCTTTTTGCACCCTGTGCATTCTGCCATTTTGTCTTTGTAGGGGTTGTATCTCATTCGGCATTCACAGTAGACACTGATTTTGACAAGCTTGTTTTGATCTTGTGACCTCCTGTTGTCAAATGGGAGCGTACTCAAGTGTCCACACTGTAATGCTTGCCAAAGATGAGCTCTAATTTGTTGTCTGTTGAACTTGCGAGATGTTAGGTCTAGGTTGTTGCAGAGGGCTGTGGCAAATGCTATGGCATATACTCCACAGTCAGTCCCATTCGTTTGTTGAACAACTGGTTGAATAGACACCTCAAGATGGTCAGCATTATCAACAAAGGGAAGGGATGCTATCTGCTCCTCAGTTTGGGGAGATATGCCATGGTAAAGGCTGTCATATAAGTTGATTTTGTTGTTTCCTTACATCCAATAGTGCTCACGTTGACCCAATGGACCCCTTCAGTGTGAAGAACTTGGACAAATTCCTGTCTCATTTCCAGAAACTGTCGGACAGTTGGTAGTCAAGGTGACATCAGTCCCCCCATGTGAGACAGTTGGCCATGTAACAGCTCCCGTGCCATTTCAATGTGTCTGTCAGTAAGCATTGCAGTTTTGCTTATAGCACTATCCTCTGGTTCCAGGTTAAACTTTGCTTCTTGATGATTGCTTGCTCATCCATCTTACAACGTTTTATAACCTTTACCTCCCTGCCCTGTACACGGTTTTTTATTTTCTTTCCGAATTTATATTTTTTTCTTTTTGGTTTTCTTGTCTAATTTAATTTTTTTTTAGGTGTGCCATGAAGTCCCCCAATTCTTCCTCACCACCAAGGGATAGGAATGTTTCTGCCTTGTCATAGGTCATATCTAGTTGATCGCAGCACAGGTGGACAAGTGCCTCAGGCAGCAGTACTTCTGTTATGCACGTACTTTAGAACCTTTGGAAAATGTTTTGCAATTAGTTGAAGCATAGCATAAGCTTAGTTCATCAAAATCACCAAATGTGACATTAAATTTCAGGTCATATTTGTGAACGGTTTCAACCACTTCCAAGGAATTTTTCTAAAGTAAACGTTGTATTGCCAGCTGTTCTTAGTCTCATCAAGTATGCTTGACAAAACACCCAGTATGACTTCATTGGAACTGGCAATGGTGTCCTGTTCAGTTATAGCTTTCATTTTATTACTAAAGCGTAGGAAATCTCTTGCTCCATTCAAACTCTGTAGCAGAGGGGCCTACTTAACAGCTTCTTCACCCAGGTTGCTTGATGTTGAGGACGGTTCTGTTATAGTTGCTCCGATGGACTGATTTGTATTTGGAACAGGTTCTGCTGACCCTGCTCCTCTAAAAAAAGTCATACTATTTTTGAAAATTTCTGCGGTTTTATTGCTGTCTCCACCCTTTTTGAAGTCTATGAATACCACAACAGCTTTCAAGTTATGACTTTTCACACCTTCAATTAATTGTCTCGCTGCGAATATGTGTGTTGTTGTTGACTGTCCAGGACGAAATCCATTCTGATTGGGTCATAGGTGTTTATTGACTTTTGACCTGATTCTGTTCAAGGCCATTTGTTTACGAAATTTGCAGCAATGCAAGAGAGACATATCCCCCTGTAGTTCTCCATTCTTCCTAGGTCACCAGCTTTCAGCATTGATATAAGATCGTATCTGACCAATGTTCTGGCATATCTCCATCAAGCAGTTTGTTCGCAAAAGCAAGGGCGATATTGTCCAACTCACACTGTTTAAAAACTCCCGCAGATATACTATCATGTCTACATGCCCATGTGCCCTCCTTTCCTTGATAGACTTCTTTACCACTGTGTATGCTGCTTCAGTGAATGGACCATCTGTGATCCCCATACCTTATAAGATAGGTGATATTGTGTCCAGCTCTCCTTCAACGGTACGTTCGTTTCCCAAAAGTTCTTTGAAGTGGGTATACCACTTATTGATTCTGTCTTCCTTGTCTTTAACCTTTATGATGCCTTTCTTGGCGGTCCTCCTCCCAGTTATTTCATTGAACAACCTCCAACTCTCCTCATGTCTGAATTCTTCATCAGCTGTCTCAACTTGCCTGATCATCTTGTCCAGGTCTTCCATTTTAGTATTATTCTGCTCGTGCAATTTGCTCCTATTTCTCTCCTCCTCTTCTTTGTTATTCTCGGTTGGACTCCAATAGTATCTGTCAGAGGAAATCTGCAATTCTTCTCTTGCCTTGGCTATTCTTGGATAATCTGATGCTTTTGTGATACGATCTTCTTTTCCTCTTCGGTCAATGACAAACCCTTACAAACCCAAGCAAACCCTTCTAAACTTTTTAGGGGTCTGAGATTCATATCATGACGGTGCCCTAACAGTGGAGTTTTCTTAGCATAGCTGGGCTAATATTTGCCCTGAAATGCTTATTTTTGGCAATTTAGGCCTCTTGGACGTTGTTCTTTCAGAATATGCTGACAAATCCCATAATCTCAGAAATGTAATTTTTATGATGTCACCACTTTAGTACTCTATGGAATAATCACCCCACCGTTCCTGCCTTTCATTCTTATTATCCTCTACAAGCTTATGTGGTGTAAATTGGGAAAGTTTTCTGACTGTGGGAGGTAAAACACTGTCAACCACATGCTGATAAAATCTTGAAAAAGTCTTTAAAGTTTGGCGCATTTGTGAAAATTCTTGTAAGGTTGTTTTAATGACTTGTTCCAAAACATCCGGGTTTTGTAAGGAAAACGCTCCTGTTCATCATCTTTCAACAATGGATTACTTTCAGCTTTGCCTTCCATTTCATTCTTGTTTTTCAAATTTGGCCTTGAAGTGTTCATCGTTATGTTCTTGGGTTCTCTATTGCTATGCGAGTCCTGTGCTTCATCAGCTTTCTGCTCATCCGGGAAAGAGCAGGGAACATTATCTGTGTAACTGCGAAGGTGACTTTTCTTCATGGTATGTGACAGCATTCAAATGGAACAAGAAGGGATATCGATGAAGTTGATATCAATGGCTTTGTTAGATCTGTGGTTGGTTTAAACTGGAATTACAATAGAAAATCTATTTACAAAATGTAAAACTGCTACAAAGCGCCAAAATAAACTGAAAATGAAACTAAAATGGACTGAAACTTACATTGTCATTGTGTAGCACTGTAAACCATGAAGAAAGAAAACTCTGCCGATGCAGGAGAAAACTGTGCAATGTGCACTCCACTAGGTGAAACTTATAAGTGTCTCAATAACTCTGGAACCTAAACTTAACTAAAAAGTAAAGATGCAAATAAACACACTACTTTTCCCGATGAGGCCTAATTAGAGGTGGCTATTGTTTTTGGTTGTTAGATAGAACATCCCCGCCCCTAAGTGGGAGCTAACTAAGCAAATCACATACCCTACATTTCTGTCACGTGATCTCTCCTGGCAACGAATGGTCTCAACACCAACAGGAACGAGTCCTTGTGTAGATTGTGTACTACTTCGAAGTGGACAGCCCAAATCGCCAAGCATGTAAAGATGACACTGTATCTCTTAACTAGGCCACGCCCACGACAAACTTGAAAAGGCCCAAAATGGTCCACACCAACTGATGTAAAAGGAGAACATAACTTTTGTCAAATCATGGGTAGGACTTGTTCTCTGCCAGAGTGGCTGCAGATACTGTGACATTTGGATTATCAGCCTGATAACACAATCATCTTTTAGGAGAATAATCTATCTCTGCTCTTCCTATCTCTTCAAGGGTGATATAGTTTGGAGTATCACGCTTCACATTGTTTTTCTTACTTGCGGTCAATACGTTTTCTCTGTAGTGCAACAGCCAAGCTGTGACCTCCTTCAGGCGAAACCAGGAAGAAAATTTCTAAAAATTATCCACTAGTGGGCTGCTCAGCTTGCCTACAGATGAAAAGTAGGCTTTAACTTCCTTTTTCAGCTCAGGATCTTCATCACAGACGCTGTTGAATGCCTCTGTCTGGGTTGGCCACATGTGCCTGGGTTTCCAAAGAAATTCAGGCCCAATAACCAACATTTTTTGACGAAGGAAAATGTTACCTATTAATCCTCGGGAGGCATTGTCAGCAGGATTCATGTCAACATTAACATGTCTCCACTGTCGGGACTCAGATCCATCATGAATAACTGCCACTGAGGTGGCCACAAAGGTGTGATACCGCCTCATTTCGCTCTTGACATAATGCAGTACTGCATTGCTGTCTGGCACCGGGGCTCTGAAAAAGGTAAGGACCTGGCTGAGGAACTGGAGAAACCAGTGAGGTCGGTGGGATTGTAAATTGAAAGAAATGATTGTTGGAATTGTTTGCCATGTTGAAGTTCTCAAGCTCAACCATGAGGCGATTGTCTGGCAAATATTGTTTGTGTTTTAACTAGGCTGATTTACTAGCTGAACAATATTTCTTGTTTGTCATTCTTTCGTTTTTGTCTTTTAGCCAAGTTGGATGAAGAAGGCTCTAGTGCCAGTTCAGGTTGGCAGGAATCTCTAGTCTTAACCACCTCAAACAAGGCATTAAACCATTTACCATAACCATGATCTTCCTGGATCGGTTGATGCCAGTTGCAGTTTTCACAGTCAGAGCTGCCTGTTTACAACAACTAACACATTTCCTAAATTTGGTTCGCAGGTGTTTAACTGTAAATGCCAACTCATCACCTCTGGCTGATGCCCTTGCCTTCAACTCCAAAATTTTTGCATAACTTGGCCCACTTTTGTGGTTCTTTGTGTTGGTGAAAATCAATTTTGTTTTGTACTCTGTGCTATTGACGACAATATCAATCAGATCATCCAGACTTTTGGGACACCACCTTGGCTTGTGTCCTGCCTTTTTGTTGTTTTCCCTTTTCCTTTTTCCCTAAAAGGGTAAAGTGCATTGTCCACTTCTTGATCATTAGATTTGTCATCTTCACCTGGGCCATCTTCATCCTCCTCACAGTCATCTCTCTTTCTTAGGAAAGAAACATGTCAAGGCTTAAGAGCGACTCTCTATAGGAACCGAGTGAGATTGAAAAAATGTGGCACAAGGTTGGAAAAATGGACCCCTTGATATTTCGTCCAGAGATAACCTATGGTATGCTAAGAATCGTGATATAAGTCTTAGGTTCTAGAGTTTTTACATTTTTGAGAAAATCACAAAAAAACGTTGACAATCTGTGACGTCGAAAAATCACAGAAATGAGGTCAAATTTCATGATCAGATAATCGAAGTTGCGTGAAGGCGCATAGCAAATTATGGCTTTCTGTAGTTTATAATTTTATTTAGGAGGTATTGCTGAGCTGCTTTGATGATATTTTAGACTTACAATTGTAATTCCGAATTCCTGGAGAGCAAGCGAAGACAACCGAAATTTCTAGACTTTGAAAATCAAAAATTCCATACCGTTTTCAAACATACTCGGTATTATGTAGAATTCTTTCAAGTTCAATTCTAGCAAGTAGAAGAGCTGTTTTTGAACGTGATATAATTTTTTTCTTGGCAAAAGTTATTTCTGAGGCAAGCGGTCCTGTGCAAGTTGACCCAATTTGACCTTTCGAAGAGATTTTGTTTAACCAGGAAATGTAAACGATTCGACTAGCATTAGCTCGCTTTCTGAGCAAACCATTGAAAAACCCTGCCATTTCCCAGTAAAACTACCCAGTAAACCTGAGATAATACTTCGATGACAGCTTACCTTTCAAATGGGTGTTTGAAGGCAAATAATTTTGATGTTCTTCACTAATTTTCCTGTGTCTTGCTGCCGTGCTCAGCCACCGGCCTTTTCATACAGCTACGGTATTTTCTAAGTGTCACCTTTCTCTGGCTTGTGCAATATTTTTGCAGGACCTGGATGCATGTCTTATGCAGCATTCGTACCTAAAATCTTGTGCTCTTGACCCTATGCCTTCAACTTTGGTCAGCCGATGTGATGTCCTACTTCCTGTACTTACAAGATTAATCAATATGTCGTTAGTCTGGTCAATTTCCTGTCGCCTGGAATGAGGCTTTAGTCTTACCGTTACTTAAGAAACCTGGCCTCGACATTCTCTTCAAGAATTTTCGTCCCGTTAGTAACTTACCATTTGCTTTGAAGCTGAGAGTCAGCTGTCTATAACCAAACTCGTAGTCACATTTGCATGAACAATCTTTACCCTGCCAATCAGTCATCTTATAGGAAGAATTATGGCACAGAAACAGCATTGCTGAGAGTGAAAAATGACATCTTGTTGAACATGAACAAACAGCATGTAACACTACTGGTTTTATTAGATCTTAGTGCGGCATTTGATACTGTGCATCACAATGTTTTACTCAGTCGGCTTCACTCAAAATTTGGTATATCTGAAACGGCACTTGAATGGTTCCGTTCCTACCTTAATGGAAGATCTCAGCGTGTTATGGTCCAAGGAAATTTATCTCAGATTTTGAATTTGGACTTTGGTGTACCGCTGGGTTCTTGCCTCGGGCCACTGCTTTTCACAATTTATGCAAGCAAATTGTTTGATTTTATCAAGGTCCACCTTCCCACAGTTCACTGCTACACTGACGACACGCAGTTGTGTCTTTCAGTCCAAACATAAGCACTGGGCAATTTGAGGCTGTCACTGCTATACAGCACTGTGTGGATGATACACGTAATTGGATGACCAATGACAAACTACTTTTCAATGACGATAAATTAGAATTCCTAATGATTGGTACCAAGCAACAACTAGCCAAGGTTAATATTGATCATATTTTAATTGGAGACTGTGTAATTAGACCAAAAGGGGTAGTTAAGAACTTAGGGACATGGTTAGACTCGACTCTTTCAGTGAATTATCATGTAAATAAGACTTGTTCCAATGCTTTTTATTACTTGTATAATATAAGAAGAGTTAGGAAATATATTTTTAGGCAGTCCACTGAGACGCTCATTCACGCATTTGTCTCAAGTCGTGTTGACTATTGTCACAGCTTGCTTTATGGCCTGCCAGCCTACCAGCTTAATAAGCTAGAGAGGGTCCAAAATGCTGCCGCTAGGTTAATTTTCCAGGAATCTAAATACTGCCATATAAGACCGTTGCTGTATAATCTGCACTGGCTGCTGGTTAAATTCAGATTTGACTTTAAGATATTATTGTTAACGCATAAGACTATCAATGGCTTAGCGCCTTTTTATCTCCAGGAACTTATTAGTCTTAAAGAAGCATGTAAATACAAGTTACGCTCCGATTGTGACGGACTGCTACTAAATCCTGTGAAATTCAAGACTTTAACAACGTTAGGAGATCGATCTTTAGCTGCTGCTGCTCCTCAACTATGGAATTGATTGCCCTATGTAATTAGGAGTAGCCCCTCGTTAGCATCGTTTAAAAAGACACTCCAGACATTCTTATTTCAGAAAGCTTTTTTCTGATTTTATGTGTTTTTTAATGTCGTTTTTAGTAGGTTTTGTGCAGTTTTTACGATTTAAGTAGTCTAGGTAATTTCTATAGTTTTAGTGTTGACATAATTGTTTTAACTCCTTTTGGTAGGTTCATGCACTTTATGCATGTATACTTTATACAGTCTTAGTATTTTTTTTTTTGTTCAAATATTTTTATTTTTAAGCGCTAACGAAAATAGCATTATTGATATGGGCACTATATAAGTATTATTGTTATAATTAAAAAATAATATAAGGATACTAAGTTCCAATAAAGACTTACCCACAGAGATCTTGTGCGCAAGTTAAAGTCCCTCAAAAAGAACTTTATTGCAGCAGTGTCTAAAATGGGAACTGCATTTCTGGTGAGTTGTACCTCCAGTAAATACAAAGATACAACGTCATCTTGCAGTATACCAGAAACCTAGAAACATTGAAGTTAAAATATGGGCCATGAAGATTCTCTGTGCACTTTTCCGACGTTTTCACAGCATTTTTATGGCCCATGTAATGTATTTTGTGCCTGGTCCTCTTACATTTTCATGGGTTAAAGTAATAGCTAAATGGTACCATGAAAATAGGATTAAAACCCCATTGAAAGTCAATCATTTGCAACAAAGACTACAATAATTGTAGTCTTTGTTATTATGTCTGCAGTAAGCAAAAAGAGGCCAGTGGTATTTCATTGCATCACTCCTTAATTCTTTAACTTGTTGTAGAGTCGATCCTGATCCTTGGCCAGATCGGCCAGCCAGGCCCCCCAGGCCCCCGTGTACTTTTCTTTGTTTTTCTTGTTTTTTTTTTTCGGCGGGCTTGCCTCAACGACTTCTTCTGCCTCGTCTTGCTGTTGCGGCTGGCGGTGGCGTTTCTTGTGCTTTTTCTTGTCGCGTTTCCCCGTATCCTTCTCCTCGGCGGTGGTTGAGGCCACTGGCTCCACTGTAGTTACCGTAGCAGTAGGCCCCCGTTTTGGTCTCTTCCGTCCAGGTCTGGGGACGTCCTGTGCTTCGTGATCAGACTGCTGGTCGTCAACGTCAATTGCAGAGTCAAGGCTGCTTAAGGTGGAGCGTCGCCATTGGGACCCCCTGCTGGAAAACGAGGATGTTGGGGTCGAAGTCCTTCTGCAAAATAAAGGGGTGGGCTCCTCGTCGTCTTCATCCTCCACGTCCTCCTCCTCCTGGAGGGTGAGGGTTCTGCGTTGGGGAGTTTGCCGCCAAGACTGGGAAGCGGAGCGCTGACGCTCACCAAGTCGAGGGCGACTCGGTCTAACGGCTGCTGGAGGCTCGTCGTCTTCTGGACCGGGCAATGATGCTGCCCGAACCCTTTTCTTTCTAAGCCCCAATCTAATCAGGGCAAATGACATAGTGCACCGAGGCCTGGCACAGCAAGTGTTGATTGGTATAGATTTTCTAACAGCTGACAAATGTATGATTAACTTTGACACTAACACTGTCTACAGTAAGTTGGGACCCAACAAAATGGTCTTTGGATGCTTTGATAGGGTTTGCAGGATCACTGTGGCCGAAACCGTCACATCTCCAAATATGGTTGCAGACATACCTTATGAGGTCCAAGGGGTAGATGACTTAGACGATTGTATGGGTGTACTGGAACCAGCGGACAAGTTTTCAGAAAGATATTCTGCTGGGGCCTTTTGGATGGCAGTGGCTCTCAAAGGAGGTCGAATCCCAGTTTGTGTGTTCAATTACCTTAACAAGCCCCTCAAGATTTAAAGGTGTAGCATTATTGGTGTCCTCTACCCATTAGCTGGTGAGGAGGAATCACAGGAGGAAACCAATGTGGGTGTGGGCTACAAGGTCGTACCCTCTGCGGCCTCAAAGGAACAGGTTGAGTTTGGATTGGAAGCTAAACAATGTGGTGTGGTTTTTGTGAGGGACGTTAACGTCCACAGTGTACTGGTAGAAGAGATGTCCCCTATCAGCAGCGATTTGGTCCCAGAAGAGGAAAAACTTCAGCATTATGAGGTGTTGTCCATTTATGCTGACTGCCTTTCAAAAGGGCTGTGGGATTTAGGTAATGCAAAGGGCGTAGAACATACCATCAACACCGCCTCTGCCAAGTCAATCCAGTTACCGCTTTGAGGGGTTCCCTTTCACAAAAGGCGAGAAATGCGCAGCCAAGTGGATGAAATGCTCGAAGCAGAGATTATAGAACCGTCCAATTCCCCTTGGTCCTCTCCGGTGGTTTTAGTAGTAAAACCTGATGGTAGTAAACGTTTCTGTGTGGACTGCTGCGCTCTTAACTCGGTAACCAAGCAAGACTTCTACCCGCTTCCTTAGTGTGATGACATATTGGAGAGTTTATCTGGGGCACAGTGGTTTTCTCATCTCGACCTCCTTAGGGAATATTGGCAAATTGATGTGGCAGAGGAAGATCGGGAAAAGACAGCGTTCACAACTGCAGATGGCCTTTACCGATTCTGCAAACTAAGTTTTGGCCTTGCAAATGCACCTGCGTGTTTTACGAGGGCTATGCACCTTACCTTGAAGGGTTTATGCTGGTCAGACTGTCTAGTGTATCTAGGTGATATCATTGTCTTGGGTCGAACACTACAGGAGCATAGGGAGAGACTGTCACTTGTGTTGTCACACTTGACAGAAGTACGCTTGGAGATTAGCCCCAAGAAATGTAAACTTGTGTGTGAACAGGTGGTTGTGTTAGGTCACGTCGTGTTAGGGGAGGGCATATTTACTGATCCAGAGAAAATAAGACTCATAAAGGAGTGGCAGGAGCCAGTTGATTAGAGTCAGATGAGATCGTTCTAGGGGACGGCTAGTTACTATAGACAATTTTTGCCAAACTATGCCCACATTGCATCCCCTTTGCACCGTGCTTGTTAAAAGGGGGACCGTTTCAGATGAACAGCAGAGTGCGAGGAAGCTTTCCGGGACATCAAGCACAGATTGTTGAGAGCTCCCAATCTGGCTTTTCCTCAGCTAGACGTACCATTCATCCTGGACAGTGATGCCAGTGACAGTGGGCTGCGGGCGGTGTTGTTGCAGGTTCAAGGTGGGAAAGAACGTGTAATAACATACGTAGCGCATGCTCTATCAAAGGCCGAAAGGAACTATAGTACCACTCGGAAGGAACTGTTGGCCCTCGTGTGGGGAATGGAGCACTTCGAGACATTCCTTTACGGGTGACATTTTTGTTTCGTCAGTTGTGGCTTTTTGGTTCACTGCTATCAAACTTCTTTATTGACGACTTTGCTGCTAGACAATACAAGAACTGCGTTCGAATCCTAAAAGGAAGTTACATTGTTAATAAATGCTCAGATAATAAAGAATAAGAAACGATTTGATATTTACCCAGTGAGTCGCCTAGGTCCACAGCTGACAAATGACTTACATTAGTATTATGACGTCACTATAACGTATCTCATTAGCAGAAAAATTAACTTAATGATTGATCATAGAATTTCTCGACGAAACACTCCCCTCCACAAAAAGGGATTTACAAATTGATAAGTCCAGATTATAGTAATTGTAACAGTACAGAGTTTAAGTAATTTCCTAAGTCCGAAATGTCATCCTTTGGTATAAGTAACACTAAACGGTGTACAGGGCATTCGATCGTGACATTTGGTTACAGGTTCACCTTGCTTAGGATTTTTGTACTGCACTTCAACTTTGCGCACCTTGCCATCAGAACCCAGGTAGGTATTTGAAACTATCCCAAGTCGCCACTGACCTCTAACCAAGTTAGAATCTTGTATTAAAACAATGTCTCCAATTTTAAGGTTGCGATGTGCTGTATGCCACTTCTGACGCACAATCAGGTCTGGGAAG